CTGTGTAGTATGGGGCTAGCCCAACCGAGGGGATATAATGTATAGGCCTGGTGGGTTCAGGGTCTTTCATCGTTCAGCTGCCTGCGAGCAGTTTGGAGGTGCAAGATGCCTGAGCGTGTAATGTTAATTTTTACCTGTGTTCATGGAACAAATCAGCACTGTTTTGTAGTTACTTGGACTGTCTCGTCTCTCAGAGTCAGTATGGTAAAAAGTACCGGGTACAACACTTCCTTTAATTTCACTCACTGCCTCTGCTCTGATAAAGCTGATGATGTACAGTTAGTTTTGGCCACCTGTGCTTGAAATGGCATGTAATCATTATATCACAACACACCATGGATAACAAGCAATTTGCTAGTTGCTAACTGAGAACCTTTCTAATGCTAATCTAGGTATTCTAGATCTAGGGATCTCTTTCCTAATGCAGGATGAAATGGTTGTAGTGCTGCATTGATCCTTTTGTTCACAGCTTATTTTGCCATTAGTCATCAAAGAGGCATTATTGTAACTTCAGCATGTGCTTCTTTAGTTGTATTTTACTCCAATTTCAATTCACGGGTAAATACATCCCCTATCTTCCATTTTCACTGCACAACAGAGGATGTTTTCCAGATTAACCCTGCACAACTAATGACTTTAAAAGCTGCTGCTGGTGGGTTTTGATGCAACATAATTTTAAACAGTAAGATTTGTGGAAACACGCTATAGTGTGACAGAAAGCAATAAAAATGAATATTTTGACAGTGGTAGTTTCAGAGTTTGGTAGAAATGGGAGATTTGGGTTAAAATGAAAATAAGAAACTAAGAACAAGGCATATAATGTAATATAATATAATGCAATGTAATATAATACAAAGTTTAAAAATGTCACGTGGTCAAATCACCATAACACGTGGTTTTAGAAATTGTAATTTGTGAAGCTGCACATTCTCCATCTGCAGCCCACCTAATGCTCAGCAGTGGGAAACGCTCTATAGTTGTGGCTTGTAAAGGCACGTTGCCCTAGAAATCTCCATATAGTGAATATTCATCGATGGGGTGGGGTTTGAATTGCAAATCACTGAGTGGGTGCCCTCTAATATGACCTGCCTTCTAGTCCCTTGGGCTACATGCAAGTGCAGCATTCAGTCCAAAGCTTTGAAAACAATGATCCACCTAGTGTAAAGAATGTTTGGCCCAAACAGTGCCACAATAAAAAGTACTGCAAAACACTGACTAACACGCCCTTCCAGTATTAGAGTGGGGGGAAACTTTAAGAAATGTGTAGCTTCATGTGCCAAGCTGGAGACACAGCGTGACGCACGGCAGAGACCTGTGCACAATGCAGAGCCAGATTTGGTACAGGATGAAAGTCACAAACGTGTCATTTATGCAACAAGTGACTGCCATATTTTTAAATGCTACTTTTTAAAGTTGCTTGAGTGTGCTCCCCATTCAGTTTAGCTACTTCACCATATGAGACATTAATGCGCAATAGCTTCATTAAAAGCATCTCCTGCAGCGGTGACACGGTCACAAAGCAAAAACCGTGTTCAGCTTGTGCAAACAACCCGAGTGGAGAACCACTTCACCTAAAGGAGTGTAGCAGTAAATAAATGGGACTTACTCCGTGCGTAGATCTCAGCGCCAAGGTGACTGTTACCACACAAATCCTGTCAGATAAATGAGTTTTGGTTAGTTTGTTATCTCCTGTGTTTATCCGGCAGGTTAACTGCGCCGGAGCGGGGCTAACGTAGCCTACAGCCGCGACAAACGCCGCGGCTGCTTGCAAACCCGAAACTAACTTTGAAGAAATCAGGCTGGAGTGTGATTTTAAAAGAAAGACATACTTACAAAAGTTTCATATTGATCCAACTGACAGAGGAGGAACCTCGGGTCGAGACTAGATCCCCTTGTCTTTACCAGCAATGCACTCCAAACGCACGCATCGACTGCTCCAGAAGTCCTGTCATCTACCCGGAGACAAACAAGAGGATGAAAGCGATGAAGTGGTTCCCACACAAACCCCCTTTATACACACACATTCCCGAGTACTAAAACTCAAACCTATTTCTGTGTGACTGCTTTTCATAAAATGAGAGCTTACCGAACTCACCAAAGTGGAGCAGTGAAGCGGTCGCTCCACTATCCGGGCTGTTGCGCTTCAACTCAGTGGCGCACCGCTGCAGGAGGAGGAGGGGCCAACACGTGTAATTCATTCCCCCACACCTTTGGCTACAGCAAGAGATTTTACAGACAGGCCTACTAAACAATAACCTCTATTATAAGTTTCTATAAACATTTATTGTATATTTTTTATTTATTTTGTGTATTTTCTCAATAACTTTCAGAGTTTCAAGTGACATATGAAGGTGTCAGGCGTTCACATTTTAGGGGGCACAGTTTCACAATACCATCAACATAAAACGTTTAAACTAGTAATGTATTTGCAACATAGTATAAATCATCAGAGGAGCATGTTTATGTTTTCAGTTAGTGAACTAATTATTTACTAACCAGTATTGTATTTAATAGGAATACTCAATATGTAGCTACACCTGTGCCATTGCTGTGGGGGACTGGGACACATCGCTCACAACTGCCCAGCACCTGCACCATGGAGCCCAGCATCCCGGGACATCTTACCTACACACAACCTGCCACAACTGAGGGTAGGCTGCCTGGGCTGGATGCACAGATTTTATCTGGACTGTGAGCTGAACTGTATCAAGCGCCATGCCACCAAACGCTGCATCACCACAGTCCCTGGCCAGAGTGTGAAGATGTGGGGAGAGAGGATGCTTAGAGTGACTGTTGCTGGACACACCATTGAGCACGGGTTTGGGCTGGCCAACATTTTAGAACCATGCATCATTGGCCTTGACCTGCTGGTGGAGTGGGGGCCATTGTGGATGTGGCTGGGACTACTCTCTGCCTAGGTGCAGATGTCATGACTCTCCACACTGCTGGTAGGGAAGGCCTGCGCCCGACTTCGATGCTGGAGTGGCCAGCCTGGAGTGTCATCCACACCACCAGGGTCAGCCAGGTTCTTGTCTACACCTACACTGTTTTCCTAGGCAGTGTGCACTGAGAACAGGCGAGTGGGTGAGGGTTTGTGCAGGAAGAGCTACAGCCCTGCACAGAGGAAAGGTTTGTCTCCACAGTTGACCATGCAGAAGTAGACTGCAGATCTCTGAATACTGGAAGAAAAGTCCTGAAGCCTAAGACAAGAGGGCTAAAACAATGAAATGACTGACGTGTAAAAGGAAAAGCTAAGGATGATTTTCCCCCAAAGAAATTAATTTCACTTTGCACCATTCTGCCAGGAGTCCAGACTGAGTATTTGACTTGTGCAACGTACTCGGGCGTAGAAAAATGCCAAATCAAGGTTTAATGTCAAATCTTTATGGAAACCTTGAGGCGCTGCGGTGCAACGCACCATATCCCTCCGCCGTAGCGAGGTCCTTATTACTGAACATGACACTTTTTAATTGAAACGGGATTTGCGTAAAATTCTCACCTGCACTGAAATCACGCACACTGCTAATCTATTTATGACCAAATTTAAAGACGCAAATTAACCAGAATATTTATTTTAGATGCCTTGGTGTAGGTGCAGAGGGTTATATCGGTGCGCCATGCAAACCTGCCCCCATGCCGAAAGGGGCAGGTTTGATAAAGTTGAGCAGAGCAAAGTTAGAGGCGAGCGGTGCTAGAGCTAGGATCACTGTGATCCTCTGCAAGTGCAACAACAGCCAACACCGTTTTCCTTGTTATTCGCGTTTCGTCTAGGAAAAGTTTACAGGAGGAGCAAGGCTATGACATGCGAGTAGCGAGCCGTACAGTTTGTCCGTGTTAACACCGGCGGATTCTTGTTTTATTCCCCCAAGATGAATAAAGACTTGAAGCGCCTCGCTGTGCCTTTGCTCCTCCTCGCCCTGTGCGTCGCGGTGCAGCGATCCGACTCTGCGGTAAGTGCATTTCCAGTTTTTGCAGTGATTTAGAGTCTATTAACTTCTTTCCAAACGCATGAAGAACCCGGGAGACCTGCTGGTCTCAGTCAGCCGGCGCCGGGACACCACCGAAATAGAGTCTGCTTTATAACAAGTGCTTATCCTTTTGCTCTATTAATAATCCAGTAGCTGTCTTCGTTTGTTGCAGTGAAAACAATCATGTAATTAGACCAATTATACACCTTTGTCACCTTTGTGCTGAGCTTTTGTGGTAGTTTTGAAGGATAGGGACCCATGAGCGCCTTCTTGGGCACTGCTTTGTAGTTTAATGGAAGATCGGACGGAGTGGTGTTCTGTTCTCTGCTCATCACGTTTCTTCTTCTCTGTCCCCTTGCAACAGCCTGCAGCAACATGCCAGCAACAGTGCTCTTATCATGCATATGTCTTTTATTCTTGTTATCATGTGAAAGATTCAGACGCAACAGTAGGCCTGTGTCTGGAAGGAGTCGCCAGTGCGCCAAATCTTCCTCTAAACGTCGGTGTTGTCTTCAGATTTAAACTATTAATTCCTGCTCTGTCATCCATGACACAGCCTGTCACCTGTCTTATGAGATGTGTTGTGCTTAATCTAATCTAGAAACACCCTAATGAAAGCCTTTTCCATCTTTGTGAGGAGAAACTGTTTTTCTCTGCGTTTGTCCAGGTGTATCTCCCCTGCAGGTGTGTTTTTATGTTGACAGCACCTGGTTACTGAAGTGAAGCTGAATAAAACCCATCGTTATTGGTTGATCTTGCTCCTAAGGCCATGTAGGTTTTAATTATGTGTGGCCTGGACAGCAGGAACATGACTTTAGTGGCTGTAGTATCAGATGATAAGGCATCTAGGTGAAATGTCTCCTTGCATGTAGGAGCAGAGACCCATGTGTGTTCTTGTGTTTATGCATACCTTTACCCTCTTCACTTTGTGTTTGTGGAACTCACCCCAGCTGCAGCTCTCAAAGTTTATATCTTTGACCTCCCCATATGACACAGCTGTATCGTCAAACTGCAGAGTAAAAGCTCTCAGCCCGTGCAAACTTCTCAAACAGGCCCAATATGCTGAATATTTACACCATGAATAATTCATGAGGACTATTAGCATGCATTTTCATACGATCCCACCCACACACCAGGCGTGTCCAATCAGGCCTGCACACCTGCAGTTCATCAGGTTTATACTGCTGCTGTGCATGGGTTTCTATCACCTCTATGGCAGCTCCATCACTGTACAGAACAACCTTTTTAAGGCTGTTAGGGTGTCATAAACATCACTCACTTTCCCTAAGTTCACAGGGAGGTCTAAGGGGAGGACAGTGAGTTAAGTTTGTTTGTAGAGAAACGTGCTGGCTGCCTCTACCGAGTTTATGCATCTTGTATACAACTGAAGTATGAAAAACTGAACACCTGAACTCAAAGACCCCTTTCCTGCATGCCAGTGATGTTGATCCGTGCATCAGATAGATTCATGTTTAATAGTTGTCTGAAAACTGGAATGTTAATTTGACTTGGTCATATGGACTCATTTTGCTCTTAGTAGAATATTTACTTCCACGCAATTATTTCAATTAGTGAAAGTCTCATTTTGAAGAAAATACCCTTTAATTAAAATGTATTTTTATAATATATAGCCACTAATAGATGACTTAGTACTGTGGAATGAGACACTGGCAAGGATCTATTCCTCTTGCACAAGACAAAATATGTACAAAAATAAAAAAGAGTAATAATTAAAGAGGTTAAAGGATCTGGTAATGGTTGTAGATTTTGGTGGTTTGTATCTCAAGCATTACTTGTTGTGCGGACACTATGGCTGCTTTGTTGCCATGGAAATTTAAAGCTAAAGGTTTAGGGGGTCCACTTTGTGCCCAGGAGTGTGACTGATCCCACTTTCTTAGAGAGGATGAGGAGGAATGGAAGGAAAAGAAGGGAAGGGGGTTGGAGAAGAGAAAGGAGCAACATTAAGCTATAAGGCAAAACGTTGTGGATGAGGGGGCCATCCTTGACCTCAGGAAAAGACGTTTGGTCTGCTTACTAACATTCTAGCTTATCTTACGGGCTCTTAGGGCAACCTTGAGCTCAGACTATTTTCACAAGAACAGAGGAGATGCTGATGAGGGAGTTTTGCAAAGGATGTTTGCCCATTTTATCTCTCTCTCTCACTCTCACACACACACACACGCAAACACCTACAGAAGACAGACAATTTGCTTTTACCCTCATTCCTACCACCCCTGCTAATGTCTTATCATCCCAATCCTCTCACTGAGGCCCCCTAGTGGAGCTTGTTTGCATGACTCAAACCTTCTAAATACCAATATTTAAGTTATTGTTGGTTGTTTATACAACTTGTTCACAGGAGTCCCTCGGTTTTTAGGCCAATCGAAGACACTAAAACTCAACAACAGGTCTGAATGTACACAGCTAAAGTAACTCACTGAAACACAAGCACATGCAGAGATATTTTCACTGTGATTCAGTTTTTAATCATTAGCCTTTTATAAAGAAGCTGCTTGTACATCACAGTTTCATAGTAGTTGGTGGTGGTGGAGTGTGTGTGTGTGTGTGTTGTATTAATCCTCTCCCAGATATGAATCTCCATTCAGTCGGGTGAGGGAGTTCAGCAGTAATGTATACCTGGAGGATTTCCTTTGAACTCGTCATGCCACACAACCACAAACACACACTTAATTTGTGCACGTGGAGACGCGCACAGAAAAGCACGCATCACAAGTATTTTTGCTGCACAGCCACCCATAGCCTCACGGGTTCCTTTGCGGTTCACATGACCCTCATTCCAGGTGGACTTTGTTGTGGGAAATCTGTCTGCTGTGTTTGTGTGCATGTGGTGACGGGGGTTAGCTAGCCATAACATCCTCGGATTGCAGAGATACATCTGTGACGTTAGCTAACACTGCAGAGCTACATCTTCAGCTCATGTTTCAGTCGAATCCTTTGCTCTTTTCTCTCGCCTTTGTTTGTGTTTTTTGTGAATTTTCCTTCTCCATCCATCTGCTATCTGTTATCTTTCCCATTCCATCTTTATCTGTTTAAGGGATCCTTAAACAGGCATGGAACAGCTTTCAAAGGACACACAGAGATGCACATCATATTTGCCTCCTTTGTGTTGTTACACTTTATAAAGTAAGGTGCAGTACTGTGTGTGTACTTTGTGTGTACAAATGTGTCTGTCTGTGTGATTCCTGATAGACGCCGTGGTGTCAATGAGCTGAAGATGCCGTTAGAATTAACAAGTGGGCAAAAGTCAATGAGAGCTAACAACAAATGTTTAGACAGCTAATTACCCATATCCACTACGAACGCTCCTCCTCCTCCTCGTTTACTTTCTCACCCACTGTCTCTATTTGCCTTTGGAAGAAGCAGAAGTCGAAGTTAGCGAAGGGTATAATGATAATAGGAGAATGGATAACATAAACAGAAATAATAAGTGGGAGTATTTAAGTAATTGTTGCAGGAAGAGAGTTTGGCCCAATCAAAGCAGTAGTATGAGATTCGAAGATGCTGCAGTAGAGTGTCAGCAATAGCAAGACTTGCATTGTGGGTAATAGGAGGTATAGTTTCAGCAATCACTAGTGATAGTAACAGTATTCAGTAGCACCGGTTGCAACAAAGGTTGCTGTAGTAATAAACACTGACACATAAACATTCCTCTTCCTGCTCAGGTTCTTTTGTTCTAGTGTGATAGTCTCATTTAATGTCTTTGCACAATATAATGTATGTCTCTTCCTACCGCTCTCTTTCCTTCCTATCAATCTCTTTCCTTCCTACCGCTCTCTTTCCTTCCTCCTCCTTTCTTTCCCTTTACTTCTTTAGTGTTAAGAGGAGGGTAAACATAGTGTGTTTGTTGGAGACATCTTAGTTTACTCCATCCCTAATTGTTTGGCCAGAGGCTTTAGAGATCAGTTGTGTCGTTTTCCACCTCCCTCCGTCCCTCCCTCCCTCCCTCCATCTTTCCACCTGTCTATCTTATTGTACCTCTTCTGTGCCTTTTGGTGGTAGTGGAAAGTAATCAAATACATTTACTCAGGTACTGTGCTTGCATACAATTTTGTGGTATCTGTGCGGACTGTATGTTGCGCTGTCGTTGGTTAAGCCCCAGAAGTCCAAAAGAGCTAAAAGTGTCAAACACTCCAAACACACACAGCTGATTTAATGTCTCCTTGGGAAAAGGTGGGAGCTACAGATTTGAAGAAGGTTTCTTTACACTGGATTTGTGGTTGAGCACGATGGAAGTGAATAAAGTCTTTGCATGACAACTTCAGGTGGCTGTAAGCTGCAGCCATCACTCTCAGTATGCATGTTTCAACTTGTTCTTCTTTCCTGACTTATTGTACAGAATGATGTTTTTAGTCTTTTCACACTTACAGAGTGTTTGTCTTTCCCTGAGACAAGCAGAAACACTAAAGAGAATAATGTGGGATTGAAACTAGATCTATCTGCCAGTGGAAATAGGTTTCCAGACATTTGCTTGTCTTGTTTGGCCCTATGTTCAGCTTTTGGGATCATCCAGATCTGAAAGTTCTGCCATTATGCGCTTTTATTTTGTGTGTTCATACCCTAATGGTTAAATCAGACATCTGGAAGTTTGACATAAGCATCAGACACTGTTCACGATAAATGAGAAATAAATAAGCAAGTTGATTAATTATTCATCGTAGATGGTGGCTTGCATTTTTCTTTACTCAGTGTTTTAGTTTGAGAACCATTTATTTACAAGCCTGTATTGATGTCCTCATACATTTAAAAGTGACAGTCAAGCTTAAACTTGTGCTCAAAAACAGATTTTTGAATTTGGAGAGCATGATTTTTTTCCTATGATCAGTTTCATCTGAATTTTGTTCTGTCTGTGTGTGTTTGGTTTTGTGTGCATGGCTGCGACCCAATGGGCTATCTGACAAGTCCACCTACACAGAGTGGTCACAAAACATCACATTCTCCTTACCTCCCTCTTTTTCTTTCTT